TCAGATCTGGGTGTGCATCCGCTCTCACCCACGCTAGCTTTCTGAGGAGGGTGTGGCTGCTCTGCTCAGACTGTTTATTTATCTGTGAATCTATGAATAAGGGGACACCCCCCCACCCCACCAAGGAAGGGATTCAGTGCAATAAGTAACCCATGTTTGCATTCTGCGAATAGTCCTGAGCAAACCTGGGCACCTCCCATTGCTGTGTTAATGAATTGGAAGGAGGGTGCCAGCCAGAAACCAATTATGAAGTCCCTCCAGGGGACTGGGGGGGGGGGGAACAGGGCCCAAGGCGAGTGGCAGCTCCTCCCCTCCTCCCAGGCTGTGTCTCCTTAGCAGCTGGTCCCACACTCCAGGCCCACAAAGGAAAGGCTCATTCTAAACAGCTTATTTTCGAGTGGAAGGCGCTGGATTTGCATCTGTCTTTGCCTGGCAGGGCCTGCTCCATGCCAGCTGCTCTAAGCTCCCAGGCTGCAGGCTGCTCTGCCCTGGGCAGGCAGGGTCCACAGGGAAAAAGTGAGCAGATCAGAAAAAGGAAGGAGAGGGGGCTGGGCGCAGAGGGAATCTGCTCATTCTCTCATCTGCTGGACTCCAGACAAATTCTGTGGCCAACGTATCCAAATCAGATTCCAGGCCACCCCAGTGCCAGGAGCCGGCAGAGGCTGAAGCCATGTCTACTCCAGGACAGTCAACCTGAGAGAGAAGTGGAAAAACTCACTCCATCGCTGAGTTGCCAGGCCTGAGGCTGCCAGGTGGCTGGTCCAGCCTTCATCCTCACTCCCAAATCAATCAAGCGCCAGTATATGCTGACCCTACAAGAATGGCCAGCTACGGGGTGGTTCTGTGTGCATTAATAAATAAATCTTCTTTAAAAATATATAAAGCACAGCACTAAGAGGCTAAAGCCACTGCAGCATGAGTTCGATCCCCGCCTGCCCCTGAGGTGACCACATGGCGGGGCAGACCTCTCCTGACCTGCCCGCTGCTCCCCTCAGCAGTGTACTTTGTCGATCTGCCTGTTCTGTTCCCCACTCTGTCTCTGGTGAAGCCTCTCACCACCTGCACCTCTGGCCTGTACCCCAGTTCTGTATGTATAAATAAATAAATCTTTAAATATATATATATAGGTGTGTTTGAATGACTTTAGGCATGTCACAATTCTGGGCCTCAGGTCCCACATTGTCAAGGGAGAAGTTTGGGTGACTTGACTGCTCACACCCCATTCTCCCATGAGCCACTCTACAGAAGCCCTAGAGACATGTGATCCTTGCCACGCAGGTAACTGCTATTAAAGGCTCAGGCAGGGCAACCACCCCCTCCCTACCCCCCCAACCCCTCACCCCTCTAACCCCTGGCAGCAGCTGAGGGGCTTCCATCTGAGTTGAGCTCTGCTGGGACGGGGCAGGAGAGCCAGGGTTGACTTGCAGAAAGAAACCAGGATGCAGGTGAGGATGTTACTTAGACAGGGAATCAGTTTCCTCGAGGGGAAGGGGAAGCTGGGATCAGGGTGTCCCTTCACCCACTTCTTGACTCCTCAGGTACCACAGGCACCCCTGCTCTGACCTGCTTGGACTGCTGAGCCCCTGAGCCAGCCTCGGGAACCTGGAGCTCTGAGTTCACTGGCGTCAGCCCTGAGGAGGCATACCCAGGAGCCAGAGCGCCCAGTGTCCCAGCCATCACCGAGAGCAAGAGCGATGGAGCTTGCTCTAGTTAGGGCAGGAGTGCCTAACACCCTAGGGCTTTATGCGTTGTTTCTCCAGCTGCACCCCAACGGGGCAGGCCGAGGCACAACAGAAAGGTGGTGCTCTAGCTCTGGCGCCCCCCCGAAAGGAGGAGTCTCAGGAGGTGACACAGCCCTATCATGGTCTGCAGACTCTCCTTTTAGGCTATGGACTCGATGCTACACACAGTTCTAATGGATACTGTTCTGTTTTCCAGCTGATGGCACTTAAAAACAGATATTTAGAGCTGGAGGAGCACTGCCCATCTGGCAGATGACTGAAATGGAATAGAGATAGAAAAATTATAAAAAGCAAGCGCAAGGAGAGGAAGAGAAAATAGCCCAGAATAAAATTATTTTGTTCCTGGGAAAGTAGCTTTCATCCTTTCCCCCCTGACGGGCCCCCTGGAAGGAAGTAAAGGGACAGTTTTGACCTCTTGGGCTGCTGATGGTCTGGGAAACTGCATCTGGGTCCTTACCCCTGCTGTCTCTTCCTTTATTCCTTCGTTCTTTTCCTTATTACATAAAGAATCTAAGGCAGCTTACTAAAACACGCACAATAAATAGAGTTTAAGACACCCTACCCAGGACAAATGTCATCAGGCTAGAAGCTCACGCTCCAGAGGTTGTGCGTGGTTCTCTAATGCTGGTGCGAGTGGGGGAAGGACTGTCTAAAACCCTGGGGCTTTACATGTTGTTTCTCCAGCACACCCCAATGGGCAGGGGGCTAGGGTATGTATGGGAGGAGACAGCAATGGAGAGCTGACACCTACAACTTACTTTCTCTAAGTGCTACTGAGAATCTAGCAACTTGCTCAAGTTTTTCTCCACTTTCCAGGCCTTTCTGAGCTAAGACCATCTCATGCAATCCACCCTCACCCTGGCCCTGAGGACTCTGTCCTTTGACACAAAGGCTCAGGGCAGGACGCTGGTGCCCACTCCAGAGCTGGTACCCTAGACCTGGAAGAGGAACAACGAGGGTGGGAAGGTCACCCCCTAGCCCATCCCTCCATGCGGACCTCAGATTCTTGTAGGGCTAATGCTTATATCTTTTAACCCGAATACCCCTCAGAGAACAAAGAACCCCCAGTCTCCATCAGAGCCAATATCCTTGCTAAAGCTGAAGCTATTCCAAGCCTCAGTGCAAGAGACCCTAGACATCATGAAAACCAACCCCTGCCTGCATTTCACAGATTAGAAAAAAGGCCTAGAAAGGGAAGAGACTGGCCCAAGGTCACCCATTCTGAGTGGCTGAATTAGAACTAGAGACCAGACCTTCAGGCCCCCAGAGACTGTGGTTTCTTCTAGTATTTGCCTACCCTCTCCGGAATCCCTCCTGCTCTTCCAGCCCCAGCCCCCTGGCAGGAACACTGTTAATGTGTGGAGGGCTGGCGAGGGGAGAGAAGATAGGGTTAAGGTGGGATTTTATTTAATCCTCTGACTGGCTTAAACAGATGCCACATTGATTAGAGAGTCATGGAGAGGCTTAAGGGGGTGGAGGGGAAGGGAGAGCATTAGGCAGTAGCAGGGGCCAGGCTGCCAGTGGGTTCAACAGACAAATGCACCCCTTCTTGCACCCCCCACCACCACCATCCAAGGCACAGGCCTCCCAGGTAGTGCCTGACTTCCATGGAAATAACCCACATTTTAGGGCACACAATAGTACAGAGAATGAGATGATCACAGATCATAGACTAAGATAGCCCTGAAGGCAAACCCCAGTGCTACCACCTACTTCCTGGGTGACCTTAGACCAGTCACCTCACCTATCTGGGACTGGGCGATCGCCTCTGTTCAAGGGGAATGAATACACTGCTGCAGGCCTCCTAGGAAGGAAAGCTGCCTGAGCTCATGGGCAAAATGAGCTCAGATCTCAAATCTCAGAGCTGCTGTTACAAATCTCACATCCTTTATCTCATCCAGGTTCATCCATTACTCTTCAGCCCAGGCCAGCTTGTGTCTTTGATATTCACAACCTTAATGATAAGCATTTAGCATTTCAAAACACTCTAGCACCTCACCCTGTAGAGGTCAGAGCAGCCCCAACAGTAAAGGCCAGAGTCAAGGATGTCCTAAAGACTCCAAGTTCATCTTCCCATTGTGTTCCCACATCCCAGTTGTGGAGCTGAGCCGAAAGACCCCAAACAAGCGTGCTAGCTTGTGGTAAATCTTACCATGGGCATAGGTAACCCTGGCTTAGAAGGAGCACAAATCACTCCTCCCAGTGCCTCCACCTGACCCAGTGCTCGACCACAAGCCAGCTGCCCGCCCCGTCATGGCCTCCAGCTCTCCAGTTCTGAGAGCCAGCTGGGCAGCTGGTGGCGTCTGGCTTTGAGTGCATGAGTCACCAAACTCAAGGCCAAGGCTGAGTTGTGAGCTCCCTGAGAAGTTTGGGTTCAACCCTCCATCTCACTGATCCTCCCACCACGCCAGGACCCGTATCACCAGACTTCCACTCCACAGGAGGAAACTGAGGGCCAAAGCAAAAGGGTCCAGTCAAGGTCACTCAGAGGGGTTGGGGCAGAGTTGGGAGTGAGTTCCACCAGCCCAGCCACTAATCCCAGGCACTTTCTACTACTTGGTCTGGGTTCCTCTTAACTCTTTCCTCCCTGTACAGGAAACCCCTCTCCTAAAGTCTTTCCAACAAACCTGGGCCTCTATAGTAAGGTTCAAGGACCCGCCTCCAATATGCCAGAATATCCACCTCCCTCTTCCTTGTCACAGACTCTCCCCTATCTTCTAGCTACCACATAACCTTTCCTGCCCCTGTAAGCCACTCTCCGACTGAGAAGCGCCTGCACCTCTGAGTGGCTTTGGCGCGGAGCCAGAGTTCCTGAATGGGCGGCAGCAGAGGCCGGCAGGTGGGGTGGGCTTTCCGTGCCACCTCAGGACAGCAAATCTGTTCCCACATCCGTGGCCCAGTGCCTGTGCCCGCCAGAGAGAATCTCCGCGGCGCGCTCCAAGAGGGACAGCACCGAGCTGCCCGACACTGCTCCCCAGGGGTTAAAAATGCAGCATCCAAACAAGGGTTAAAAATGCAGTCGTGGGGCTGGGCTGGTGCGGAGGGATGTCGTCCAAACCACAGCGGCTGCCAGAGCGGCATCCTCCCCCTTCCCTCCGCAGTCCTGGGGGACGCGAGCGACTGGAGCACTGGGGGAGCCAGGGAGGAGGAGCACGCCGCACCTTCCCCGCACCAGTGCCCCCTCCCCACACCCACACCCCCGCGCCCCCAGCTGCCGAGGCCAGGGGCTGCAGGCGCCGGCGGGGCTCGGGCGCTTACCTTTGTGACAGTCATGCAGAAACTCCGCGGCGGTGCGGGGGCGCGGGCGCGCTGTGCGGGGGCTGCGGCCCGGGTCCTCTGGGGGTCCCAGTCGGCGGCGGGCAGGGGGTCGGACGACGCTCGGCGCGCTGGCGGCCGGGGCTGCTCCCCGCGCGCTCCCCGCGCCCGGCTGGAGGCTCGGCGGAGCCTGGGGGCAGCGCTGCACGGGCAGCGCGCAGGGACCGCTCGTCGGCGCTCGCCCGCCGCTCGTCGCTGATGTCAGCCCCGAATGTGCATTTATAATAGATGAGCCTCCTTCGCCGCAGGAAGGCGAGGCAGGAAGAAAGGCAGAGAGGGAGAGGGCCCGGGCTGGGGGGCGGGGGGAGGAAGAGGGGCCGGGAACTCGCTACAAAGGAGGAGGCGGAGGGAGGAGGAGGAGGAAGCGCACGCCCGCCCGCTGGCGCGCCCCGCGCCTCCGGCCTCTAGCGCCCGCCGCGGGGTGAAGCCGCTCTCCAGGCCCGGGGCAGGCGCCCAGGCCCGCGGCCTTAACCCCTTGAGGCCCACGGACGCCACGCGGCCCGGCGAGGCGGAGTCCTGGCACCTGCCGGCGGGAGAGTGGGCGGCGACCCAGGCTCTCCAGTGCCGCGTTGGCCCGGGGACCTGGTGAAGTCACGCGCTCGACCTCCGAGGCGCCGCGTGGGCCGAGGACACCGTCGGGCTCGCCCCGCCGAGGTTCGCAAAGTCAGCTCCGGGGCCCTCTGTACCCCGCGGCCCGCGGAGAGGGGCGTGGCGCGGAAGTTCTGCCGACACCCCAGCCTCGCGCCCAAGCCCCTGCCCCTGTGTCCCGGGATGGGTTTGCATCCGCGTCGTTGGAATCTAATTCCCGAAGTGATTGGCCCGAGAAGCTCTGTCAGTTTTACAGAAAAGGAAACTGAGGACCCGAGAGAAGGGCGCACAGACTAGCCCCTGGCGCTTCTGGCGCCTGTTCTCCGTGTCGCAGCAAGCTGCCTGCGAAAACTCTGGTAAAAGCGGCGCTCTGGAGACAGACTGGGCCCTGCCCTGCAGCAGCTACACTACCCCTGGGTGCTGGGCTGCTCTGGAAAATGTGTCGTGTGTGGTGGACTAATCCTCACCTGGGCCCCGCCATATCCTGGAGTTGCTGCTGGGGTTTTGAGGGGCAGTCACCTGAAGGTGACTTAGGGAGGCTTGCCAAGGGAGGCCTCCTCCGGATACCAGGGCAGAACCGGTTCCTGCAGATCCTGAACCAGGGAGACAGACCTAGGAGGGGAGGAGTTAGCACTGAGGAGGCAGAGGATCACCCGTGCACGACAGCCCCCTCTGCCAGCCCGGAAGTACTGGCTTCCTCCTCCACCTCCAATATACATTGCAGTCACCCACAGGCGGTGTCCACGTGGTACGTGAGCACCTGCTCCGTGGAAAGTGCTGGAGGAACAGAGGTATTCCCACGCCTGTCTTCAGGAAATCAGCAGGCTCGGACTACAGCAACATGAACACATCTGTAGAGCACTTTGTGGGTCCTCTTGCTATTTTTACTTACCTTTTCCCCTGGAATCTTAAATGCAACAGTAAGCGTTTGCATTACCATCCTCATTTTGCTGATGGTGAACAGGGCAGAAAAGGGATGGAACCTGCCCAAGATGGCACAGTGACAGAACCTGGACTTGGACAGAAGTCTTTTAAAATCAGGCACAGCATTGTGTTTGCATCTGTGAATTCCAGGGTTCCCTCATATCTGCTGCCTCCTTTGAGCTTCCACATGTTCTGGAAGGTAGGTGGACAGCTATTAGTCCTGAATTTGCACCTGAGGAGTTTGATTAGTTTGCCAAATCTTGATACAGAGGTTCCCGTAGGCCTCAGGCAACACCTCTGTGCAGATCCTTCCGGGGTGTGTGACCGTGTTGGAACTTGGCTTTGACCACATGGTTCACCTGCCAAGCTTGCCTCCTCCTTCCTCTGCCCCTATCCTACACTCCCCACCTCTCAGGGCTTCACCTCCTTCCTTTCTCTGACAACCTCAATCCCTAACTCCCCCTCCCCTTCTACATTTGGACCTGAGGTTCTGGTCTGATTTCCACGACCTTCCTGTTGGTACAGACCAAGAGCCACAAGCACATGCCTTCTCTTACTGTGTTCTCCTGGGCACACAGTAGGTGTTCAGCAGCTATTTAATGGCCCTAAGAGCAATTCAAAGAAAACAACCTTCCACCTGCTTTGGAAGAAATATCAACTAGACATACAAAAAGCATTTCCCCTGGGAAAATTCAGAAATGGCCTACTGCCAGTTCTGGTTCTTCTTGGGTAGACCTGCCTTAGCCAGGAAGATGCACCCCAAGACCTTTCCAGGACCCCACCAGTCCTTGGAAGCATTAAAAAGCAGCTCGAGATGAGAACTTTAGTCACCCTCCCCCTTGGCTGTGACTTGTCCACTTGTATCTCATGGACATTTTAATCCCAGATTGCCATCCTCAGCTACCCAGCATGCCTGTTGGCTCTCTCCCCACCATCCACCAGCCTTGTGGGCTAAAAGAATAGACAAATACTTAACATCAGCTTGAGCCAAATGTAATTAGGAGCATCAATCTGCTGCCCACCACCCACATGATACGTTCCAAAAGCAAAAAGCAGCATTTCTGATGCCTCTCTGGCTGTGGGCTTGCTTCTTCTGTCCCCTCTCCTCAGTGGGAGTGGGGCTCTGAGAGAGCAAGGGCCTCTCTGAGAATTCTGCAGCCCCTCATCCAGGCAAGGGCTCACCCCTGAGAAGAGCCCCGGAAAAATATATGCACTCACTGGTGCAATTATCTACCCTACAAGGTCCCGGCAATGTGGCCCGTCTTAGTTTGGATTCTTCTCTAAGCAAAGCCTGAGAAAGGAGTTCATCTGGTGGTTTAATTGGAAGGTGATCCCAAGAAATAGGAGTGAAAGATGGGGGATGGGAGGCGGGGAATGAAACTGGGAAGGAGGAAAAGCTAATATAAAGACTGACTTTAGGTTATGGGATGTGTCCAGAATTACCTGCCACCAGTTACCTGCCACTTACCCAAAGGTTCTTCCTGCTGTTTGAGAGCTGGTCCTGAGGGCTTTACTCCAGCTGGGAGGATGTCCTGGAGCAGAAAGTGGGGAGACTCCAGCTCTTACTAGAAGTGGGAATCTGTCCACTCAAATATGCGTTCTCTTGGACTGTGCAGTGAGGTTTTGCTAAAAGCAGAGGGGCACAGGGTTGGGGGTGGGGGTGCATCACAAGCTATAGGTGAGAGAGTGTGCAGTAGCCCTGTTCTGTCCAGGTACTTCCGCCATCACTGCCTGGTGCTTCCTCCATGCTCTCTCCTCGGCCCCCAATGCCTTTCCCCCTCAAACCCCCAATGCCTGTACCTCTCTGCAAGGTGAGCTCCCATTTCTCCTTCAGAAGGCTCCTCCTCTATGTTGCTCTCCTGATACATCCTCCTCCAGGGTGGCCTGATTTGCATTGTATTATAATCATCATTATCCAGTTTATTGTCTTTTCTCTCTCAATGGACTATAGTCATGTGTGTTTATGTTCATGTTCTCTCACTCTCTCTCATCCCAAGGAGTAGCCGACACACAGGAGATGCTGGATAGCTGCCTGGCCAATCCACTAAGGCTCCAGGGGCACCTTTCTGCCTCAGTGAGCCCTTGGCTCCAGTCCCAGCACCCAAGGTGAGTCATCAGCGCCTGTCCCCCCAGCATCAGGCTCTCCACAGCCTAGGGTCTTCATTTACCTGGCCTCATCCCAGGCCCCGTATTGCATGCCACTGTAGTAAGGAGGCTTGGGCCTTGCCCCGCGCAGTAACCTTGCAGTCTCCCAGAAAGATTCTCAGACATAAACCCACATCCCAGACCACGGGTAGAGTTGCACATAGTGGGGTTTCAGAAAGAAGGAGTTCCAGATTGTGGAGCCCCAGAGGAAGGAGGCGCCCCTCCAGCCTTTACTGGCTGCCAGTTCTTGCCACCCCAGGACACATGACCACACCTCACCTGCCTGCTGGTACTGAGTTTTCAGTCCTCAGGTCTCATTGCGCCTCCATTCACCCCCTCCCCCCCCTCCTCCCCATCTCTGCTATTACTGCCTTGGTGCATCATTGTACTTTGCTGGAGCCTTCCTGACTGGTCCTCTTGCCCTCTACCTTGTGAAGGTAGAAGAGGCCAATTCATTCTCTCACCTCAGTCTACACATCACTGATCAAGCACACACAGGGAAGCCCACAGGAAACCCAGCAGGAGCTCCTTCAGGCTGAGGTGAAAACTGGGTCCTCTAGGACCAGCCCACTTCTCACTCTTCAGGCTCCTGTCTCATCACACTCTTGACTTTGTTTCCACCTACCACATTTTTCCTCATTCTTTTCCAGATGGCACGTTCTCCAGGAAGTTCTCCTAGACCATGACCAGGATGGTTGCAATGCCCAGTCTCTGAACTATTGTCCGTAACTCCCTGTGCCTCTTGCTCTCTGAGCCTGTGCTTTGTCTTATGGTTTCACGTTTGAGTGTTTGGCATCCTGGTGGAGTACAAGCTGCTTCAAGTTGGGACTGGCTCTTGCTCTTAGGAATTCCAGCTCAGGGCTGATGCTGTTCAACCCCCCTTCTGAGATGAACTTCTTCAGGCCCCTGCTTTGTCCTTCCCAATCTCTCTCACCTCTGCATCTCCACCACAGGTCCTGTCCACCTCACTTCTCTGTTGCATCCACCTTCCCGGCTTTGAATGTCCATGTCTGTGTTCCCCTGCCTCCTCATGGACACCCCCCCCACCCGACATTGCCTTTCCCGCCTCACCTCCCTCGCCCCCTCCCCCTCTCTGCTGCTCCTCATGCCTGGGCATGGGTCCCCCTCCTCCCCCTTTACTTTGCTGGTTTCTCCCCTCTTCCTGCCTCCCTCCAGCTCTGTTCTCCTTCCCCACTCCTGCCTTCTCACCACTCTGTGCTTCTGTCTCCATTGTCCTGTCTCTGTGGCTATCTCTTTCTCTAGTCTTTCCTCTGCCTCACTCACTGTCTCCTTTCTCCTCGCCCCTGTCCCCCACTACGTGTGGACACCACACCTTATGCTGACTCTGGCGTGGGGCAGAGCTGGGGAGACAGAATCTGGTCCCACCAGCGTCTCTTTCAGCACACCTCATGGGATGATGACTGTGAGCCCCCCCCCACCCCGATGAGCCCTTGCCCCGGCAGCAGGGGTCTTCGTGCTTGACCCACTCCGTGAGCTTTTGTGAATGGTGTGACAGCTTCTGCGTCTGTGGGTGTTTGGAAATGGAGACAGAGGCGGGAGTCACAGTGCCAGGGCTCAACCTCCCATTAGAGTCCTGCCCTCCCAGTTCTTTCCAGGGTCATGATGGCGACCACAGGCCACAAGGAAGGCTGAAGGCTGGCCTTGGCTGGGCTCCCTGTCAGA